CTCATAATATTAACAATGCCTGGATACTTTCCAGACAGACCTCATATTTAATAAATGAGAGAAAGACCAGTAGAAAAGGGTGTGACATGTCTGGACTGTGAGTTTTCTGTGTGCCTCTTAATAAATCAGCAAATGATGGTCCTTAACTATATTCAGGAAGGATGACCAATAATTCATCCAGAGTTTTTTTGATTTGATTTTTGGTTTGGGGGTTTTTTTGCAACATTTAAAAATTGAACATCTAGAATAATTTTTAGTTTTTCATGTTAGAGGAGTTATGCTCTAATTGTTTCTTACTATTCCGCTACTTTCACTTAATTTTATTTAGACTCTTATTTACAGAGTATATCTAGAAATAGCATGCTTTACTTTTTCTGGAAGCAGTGTTTGGGTTACCTAGTATTAAAACTTACCAGCTTTGAGACTATTGAAGGAGGGTGAGAAGCAGAGTCACTTTAGCTAGTTTCTAAGACTGAGAAACTGACATGATTTCATCCTTCATCCAAGGAGTAAGAGGGAAAAAGAAAAAAAGGTGAAGAAAGGGTTCTAGTATGTTTTCTACTCATAATTAAGAGAGCAAAACCAGACCCTTCAGAATTAGTACTGGTATGTTTGATCCCATCAGATAGTGGGCTCCAAGAAAGCAAGGACGTTAGTTCACTATTGTGAACCCAGGGCCTAATGCAATGCCAGATACATAGCAAGCATTTAGTGTGTGTGTGTTGGTGAATGAATCCCTTCATTCCTAAATGAATGACTAAACAAGGCATAGCTCTGCCCAGCTGCTTCCAGGTGTTCTCACATCTGCTTTTAAGACTAGTCTCCACTAGAATGAACAAGTTAACTTTAATATATTAAATTATCTCCTTAAAAGGTGTAACTATTAGTCAAGTGGATGAAGAAACATATTCTATATTTGCACCAACCCCTGGTGCTATGCATGAGGCAAGAGACTTCATTACTGAAATCTGCAAAGATGATGTACGTATAGATCTTATAATACTTGCTTTTTCTACTTTTTGCTGCTGTTTTCTTTATGAATCTTACAGGCTTATTTTGTACTTACAGCAGGAACAGCAATTAGAATTTGGAGCAGTGTATACTGCCACAATAACTGAAATCAGGTAATATTAAGTAATATCCTATGTTGATTTTTAAAAGATTTACTTTATAAGCCCAAGTTAACTTCACATTTGCTTTATTTACTTTGAAATCATAAGGTGTTTAGATTATATGTCAGTTACCATATAATAATAATAATATTATTTTTTAAGGTATGTTTTATTTTTCATACCAGCTTATACATTTTCAGTAACATGGTTCTGTGGTTATAATTATAATAAATTCTTGTAACTAAATTGTTTTCTTTTTTTTTTAAGTTTACTATGGAGGGGAAGATAAATTGTTTTCTTTAACCAAATTTTCTACCATTTTAATTTTCCCAATAAACAGGCCCAAAATAGACTTAGCAATATTTCCTTTTTTAAAATATGTTTGTTAATTATTATCACTATAGATGGGGTCTTGCTATGTTGCTCAGGGTGGACTAAAATTCCCGGGCTCAGACACACACCACCATGCCTGGCTTTGATGGCTTGTTTGAAAGATAGTAATACTATTTAATGCTTAATTAGCACATATTTTTAAATGCCATTTTCAACCTTGAGGCTTTTTTTTTTTTTTTTTACAAGCTAAAAAGATTGTATTTTGAAGATCAGAAAATCCCTTTAGGAAAAAAAGGAGGTTTCCTGATGCAGCAAGAATGTTCAAAGCTATTTGGAATGAATAATAAAAGACAATGGGATAATTTATTTAATATTGTAGGTAAAAAGAAATGGGATGGCTTATTTTAGTAGACTAGAGAAAAAAAGACCAAAAGGCTTTTTAATGAAATAAGTATTCCAGTTTATCTAACCACATTCTGTAAATCACTATCTAATAGGTTAATTATATTCTGCACTATTTTAAAATATTTAATGTCATTTCAAAAATGTTTAGAAATTATGAAGAGAAATACAGAACAAGAATATATATTCTAAAAGCTTTTTTACTGCAAATTTTTTCTTTATCTTTTCTTTGTCCTTTGATTCATAAGTATGTAAATATAGAGTACATTTTCAATGGAAAAGTAAGTATCTGTTTTGGGTAATTATACTTTTTATCGTTAAAAACATATGCTAGAGTGATTTTTTTTTTTTTTTTTACTTTTTTCTCCTATGAAAACATCAGTTTTGTCAGTTAATATACAGGTATTTATTGTTTTAACCAGGTTTTTTATTTCCCTTTTATAGAGACAGTGGAGTAATGGTAAAATTATATCCAAATATGACTGCAGTACTACTTCATAACACACAACTTGATCAGCGGAAGGTAAAAAGATTTATAACTACTTTAAAATAACCATATTGAATTACCTAGGTTGGTGAGATTTGTATATACCTATTGTTAGCCTAAAGACAAAAAACAAAAATGGCAGAGATGCTACTGGCAAAAGGTTTTACAATGTTTACCACAGATATTTATGTTTCTCTTTCCATGATGGAATAGAAACATTCTGAGTGTTTTGAGGTGGAACAACATCTAGACCTAGCACATAGCAGTTACTAAAAATACCTACCTATAACCCTGTCTTCCCAATTTTCCACTGACTAGACAATCATGGCAACGTAATTCTTAGGGTGTTTTTAAATTTAATTTTTGTTGTATTTCATACATCTGGAAGAATAAAAGACAATTCAAGAAAAACAATGGGGAGAGTAATAGGAGTGTCTATTATAACATATCTTAAAATATAATTAAAGTTATAGAGAATAAAACAGTGTATTATTACTGGCTCAGAAATATATAATACATACAACAGAAAAAAGGGACCAGAAATAAACCCAGTTGTAATACATGCTAAAAGTTGTATAATAGTCAGTGAAGAAATAAACTTAATTTAATAAATCATATTGGTACAGCTGATTATCTTAAAGCAGGATCTCTGCTCATTTTTATACCAAAATCCTATCTGGATCAAAGAGATAAATGGAAAAAAAAAAAAAAAACAAAGTTTAGTACTGGGGAAAACTTTTTCAGCATGATATCAAAACCAAAAATGTAAATAAATTGATAAAATTTGACCTCATAATTTTTTAAAGTTAAATGGCAAAAATCACAATAAGGTTGAAAATGGTCCATAACCTAAGAGAAGAATGCTTATAACATATGACAGAGGCTTAATATACAAAGGGCTTTTGTAGATCAGTAAGAATGATGATTATCAATAGAAAAATGAGCAAAGAACATGGACAAATCATTTTTTCAAAAAGCCAACCAAGATATTCAAGATCCACAGCAACTTTTTAAAATGCAAATAAAATAAAAATATTTTTAACTTTGAGATAGTTGAAAATTCCCCATGTCAATAGGAAAAAAAGATGGACATTTTCATTCATTATTATAGGAGTACAGATTGGGACAAACTTTTTGGAAGGTGTTTGGTAAATGTCTATGAACCTAGAAGTTCCACATGTAGGACTTTTTTCTGAGAGGATAATTAGAGTAGATGAATACATGATCAGTTATATGCTATAACTTTTTCTCAAGTTTTTATTTTGAAAAATGTTAAGCCTACAGAAAAGTTGAAAGGATAATAATATACTGAACACTCATATACCTTTGAACTAGATTCACCAATCATTAATATTTGCAGCATTGGAATTTAAAACAAATTAAATGACCATCTTTAGGAGACTGGATAAATAATTTATACAGTGTGAATGCTTAACTGTAATCCTTCAGGTATTAATTGCAAAAGATGTCCTTAATCTATTATTGAATGAAAAATGAGCAAATTATAAAATAGCAAGCACAGAGAGGTCCACTTTTATAAATGCAATATAAACTTACTAAATAGAAATTTGAAGGGATATTCATTGAAGTGTTAATGGTAGTTGAATCTCAAGTAGAGGGGTTTTGGATGATTTTTACATTTTTCTGAATATATCTATATTTTAAATCTTTGTCATTAACAGATTTTACAAACAAAAATCAGTAAAGCTGTTTTTCACTTAGGGAAAAATTTATATTTCCATGGACATTTGGTAATTATGCACAACAACTAATAGAATAACATGTTTTCTTTCAGATTAAACACCCCACTGCCCTGGGATTAGAAGTTGGCCAAGAAATTCAGGTACCTGTGTTCAACCTTTTAGCCTTATAGTTGTAAATTGTACTTGAAGTTTCAATTATTTTTTTCAAAAAGTAAGTTGGAAGAATAGAATCAACACCTATGATGTGTATTATTAATATGCTTTTTTTTTTTTTTTTGAGAAATGATTTCTCACTACCCAGGCCTCAAACTCCTGGCTCAAGTAATCCCCCAACTTCAGCATCCCAAGTAGCTGCGACTGCTATGCCACCGCACCCTGCTCAGTGCTTCTTTTTTAACTTCATGGTTGCTTAAACAGACGCATAAAAGATTTAAGACAATTCTTTCCCTCAAGTAGCTTACAGTTCAGCTAAAACAGTAGTCATCTTTAGAGCTTTTAAAAAAACATGAACAGGAAAAAAAAAGGAAAATAAAAATTAAATCATGAACAGGTCAGGGTTGGCTTTGCAGACTCAGTGATTTGGAGACAGACATGAGAAGTCTGGTAATTTAAATTTACTGAAGATTTTGAATTTTATCTTTAAGGAGATGAGACTTTGTTTCTCCACTACTTGAGGCTGAACATTTCTGAATTTGCTGTGAGCCATGTTGTTTAGGCCTGGAATTCTGATAATGAAATTGATCTTTTTTTTTTTGTAGTCCTTTATGAGTGGATAAAAGAAGTCATTGCCAATCTGGGTTTTTTTGGCTGCACCGCATTCTGTTCCAGTTATACCTAATACTCATGACCTGAGTAACTAAGGCTTCTAGTTTATTCCCAATCTGTAGTCCCATTGTTCAAGTAGCCTCCAGGGAAAGATGAGAACTAAGACTGTATAAGGTTTTTTGTGTGATTCGTGTTTTGTTTTTTTTTTTTAAACATCAGAAGGGACTTTCAACCTACCATGTTTCCCCTGACTTTTCATTTTTCAAGGTGAAGCCAAATACCAATGAGATGGTTTTTTGAGCAGTAGTGAAAATCTGAGTGACGTAAGCATAATTTATAGCACAATTAGGCTTAGAAAGCCCTTGTCTAAAATCATTCCCCATGGCTTTGACTGTTCTTCCAATATAGGACTTGGCCTGGAGAGAATAAAAAGGCACAGATGAGTTTAACAGATTATAGTTGGACAACTAAATGCCCCTCTTTTTTTAATAATAATTAATCAAATTATAAATCTTAAGTGTAATACCTCCACTTAACACTGAGCTGTGCTTTCAGTGAATAAATAAAAACAATCATTGCCTTATCTGGACCATGTAAATTTAAGTGTCTTTTAATTCGGATGTCACTCAATGTGCTGTGACTTTAAAAGTAAATCTGTTTATTTGACACAGGTGAAATACTTCGGACGGGATCCAGCGGATGGAAGAATGAGGCTTTCTCGTAAAGTGCTTCAGTCTCCAGCTACAACTGTTGTCAAAACTTTAACTGACAGAAGCAGTATTGTTATGGGAGAACCTATTTCACAGACATCATCTAATTCTTCCCAATGATATTTTTAAAGAGAATTCTAGGGTGATATGCTATAAAGAAAAATTTTACTGTCTTCTGATGTGTAGATTTATACATAGTATAAATATATTCTAATTATTTGTATTAAAAATGCTCATTTACACGTGCCATTTTTATTTCAAGAGCAACTCATTCTTTTAATCTTATTTACATTACAAATCAAATATTTATTATTAAAAGTAAACCATTTATACATCTTAGGAAAGATTATCCTTTTGTTTCTGTAATTCTGAAACAGCTGAAAAACTTAGAAATAGATTATAAATGCTATTATAATGGATCTCTTCCTATACATCTTATTTTTCTTCTTTATATACACTAGTGACAATATACCCTTAGTCATCTGTGGCTCACAAACTGGAATATGCCATTTTCAAAGCCAGTGCCTATCCCCTCAGAACAGTTATCATATAATAAGTTGAGGAAGCTAATTTGACCCATTTTTAATAATAAGATGCCTTTATGTATGCGTGGTGGCATGCACCTGTAGTCCCAGCTACTCTGGAGGCCGAGGCAGCCCAGAAGGCCAGGGTGTACAACTTCCCAGAAAGAAATGTTCTATTCTCTGGGCTCAGAATATATTTTGTCCACATCAATCACGGCAATTATCGGGCTGCATTTTTATGTACTATATTATAATGACTTAACTCATTTTCTGAGGTCCCTGTAGATTAAAAGAAACTATGAATCCAGGTTTTTTAATTAGAATTTATTATGTTTCTCATCAGGCGCCTGCTCTAAGACACTGTCACATGTTTTAGTGTACTGCTGGAGGGTGTCCACACACATAAGTGGTCTAGTGAAAACAAACACGTTTTGACGAGACCATTGATAAGTTGTGACTACAACTCCCAAGGTGCACTGCAGGGTCAACGTGCACACGTCGCTCGGTTTTCACTTTTCAGGCTACTGGGTTGTAAAGCGCTAGCGGCTGAACAAGCTGAGCTTCTAGTAAAGAACGAATAAAGAGATTCTCCCAACAACGAACGGAGATTGAAATAAACGACAGGCACGCTACTATGCCCAGCGAGTGACTCGTATCCACTGCACAATGTGCGACAATTAGCGTGAATGGCGAGAGAATTCTTCCTTCCGTAATTCAGTGCACAAGACCTGTCCATAGATAATGCGGGAAATGCCCTCAAGAAACTAAAATATCAACACAATGCTCGTAGATGTGTTAGGAAGGTAGCTCTCCGCCACTTCCCTAAACTTTTCTGCAGATTTATTTTCTGAGGTCGCAAACGCGGTAAGAGCACTGTATCCTCCCGAAGCGGAGTATGCTTCTCAATGGCTAGCTACTAAGAGCCAGACGGTGAAACGGTTTGGCGGGAAATAGAAAATTATCAACAGACTTTTGTACGACAGTAAAATCGCCTGATTTTAGCGTCCAGATACTTCCTGGGCAGCTGTTTAATTGTAACAGATTCCATAACACGTTTTAGTGGATTTCGGTTCAGCTGAAAAGACTCAACACTCTTTACAGAGAGGTTTAAACTGCACCCTCCCCCATAGGCTGACAGGGTGAGCCTGCCATTAAGGAACGCGAGCAAATTTTGCTCCTTGTTAGTCTCGTTCAAGGCTGCGTACTTCACCGGTGTGCTCTGTCTTCAGAGCTGGGTCCCAGCGCACGTCACACGCCAGAAGCCAGCAGCGACCCAACGAAACCCCCACCGAGACCCTGCTCCTGCGATCTTCCACAGAGAAGCGCCAGCGGACGCAAGCAGGGACCCGGAAACCGCGAGAACCTTCTGCTCCACCGAGATCCCGGATTAAGAGGCGGAGCCGAGAGAGGAGGAAGTCCCACTTAGGCCCTCCCACCTCAGTCGCGTACCCTTCCTCGCGAGAGTGCCGAGCATTCCGGCCAGTGAAGTGCGTGCGGAAGCGGATGTCTGTTCGTTGGACTCGTCGGCCGCCGTAGCCCCTGCTAGGACAGCCCGTGTGCGCCTGCTGGAGGAGGAAGAGAAAGGCAGAGAGAGTCGGGTTACAAGATGGCGGACCTGTAGTAGTTACCGCGGCGGCGGCGGCGGCGGGAGAGCGAGCGAGCTCTGGGGGGCAAAGGGAGGGGGGGCGGGTGTATGCGGGGGTGAAGTGAGAGGCAACAGGGACTCCGGGCGGGGGTGTCTCGGTGGCTCTTGTCATCTTTTCTCGTGGCTGAACCTTTGGAGCCATGGTGAACTCGGGCCTCTTCGGAGCCGCAGCCGCCGCCGCCGCCACCACCACCACCGCCGCCGCTACCGTCTCTCAAGAGTGAGGGGCGTGGACGAGCTGAGCGAGGAGGCGGCGGCTGGAGCAGAGGGGACAGCAGCCACCATGTCGGATACACGGCGGCGAGTGAAGGTCTACACTCTGAACGAAGACCGGCAATGGGACGACCGAGGCACTGGGCATGTCTCCTCCACTTATGTGGAGGAGCTCAAAGGGATGTCGCTCCTGGTTCGGGCAGAGTCCGACGGTAAGGTTATTGGAACGGTAGGATAAGGGACAGTGCTTCTGGTTGGGGCACTGCCTGGGGTTTAGGCCTTGGGCCCGGTTACTGTTACTACCACCTCTTGGGACAGCGCAATGGTCTTGAGCTTGCTCTTACCTGCGGTAAAAACTAACTGTCCGGACTTACCCTCAGTGTGAAGCAGATTCTCTGTTCCCCCGCCTCTCATCCTTATTAAGGATTTGACTCCTTCCTCTCCAATTCCTCCTCTTGAAGAGGGGAGGATGTGAGAGAGACGGAGGAAGTAGTGAGAGACTACGTAGTGACTGCTCACTCTAGGAAGCTAACATCCCCACCCCCTTTATTTATTTTCTCTTCCATTATTCGTCTAATACAAAAAATTTGGCGAAAAACTTTTCTGAGTGTCCTTTTTCACTGGATTTTCTCTGGGGACCGCGGTTGCTGCGGTTGGCAGGTGCTGGGGAAAACCAAAAGGCACCTTTTCCTGGAGTTATTGCTGACTGTTGCCACGATACATGCACGCACAAGCACGTACATCTTTAGTCTGGGATCCCTCCAGGCTGTCTTTGTGGAAGGTGCTATGAAAAAGTGAATACTTTAGAGTCTAAGCAAGTTAGGACACCAAAGCTGAATTATAAACTCGTATTCGTTGGTTAATTGTAAAATATTTTAAAATTATAAAATGTAGAGTCGTAATTAAAACACCTTTTATGGTGTCACCTTGGTGTCTCGATTTGAGCAACTGATTTGTGCAGTTAATAGAAAAAGAACCACCTTTATTCTTGGCATATTTTATATTTTTGCGCTTTCCCTTTTATTTTAAATAGTCACAGACATTTATTCTTACATGAAGTGTTCTTTTGTTCTTAATGAGAAAAGGATAAATGCAGCACTGTAATTTGTGTACTAAGTATTTAGATCCCTGTCATGGTTCTTTGTAATGTGTTTTATTCGTTAACCTGGAAATGCAATGAGCCTTTATTACAAAGAGTGGCTTCAAACAGTCATTTAGACCTTAAAATTTTTGTTTCAGTACAACTTTTAATATTCACCTATTCTCATCTTCTTGGTCTGAATGTTGGTTTTAGGTGAATTTTCTTTCTTTAAGGGTTTATCAGAATAGAATGAAATATTCTAAAATAAGAAGCCTACACCTGGAAAGAAAATGTGAATTGGAATACATTTTATTACTTCAGGTGTCTGGCTGAAGAGATATGAAAAGTTTGGTGGTTTTTTTAATGTATATTTTTATTCAGGGTTTTATCATTTGAGATTTACGATATATTATTCTTTTATCTTTCAGGATCACTACTCTTGGAATCAAAGATAAATCCAAACACTGCATATCAGAAACAACAGGCAAGTAGTTGTTTATCTTTAATTTGAAAGACTTCATCTGTGATCAAGAAGTATTAATCTGACAAAGATGGGAAAGCTTTCCTGACAAGAAAAAACATGTTTGGTAAACAAAGTTACAGACCATGTGTATTTTCTTTGCAGGCTAAAAGTTTCAGACTGAAAAATGAAAGTTCTTTGTACTGGCAATAATTTATTATTACCTTTTAATTGAGTCACTGTTAGTTTATGATAGAATACAATGTATTGATTAGTCTTATTTAACTATAGTTAGCCAGGTCTCTTCTGTACCCTGTACTCTAAATCTTTTATTCTGAATCACGCTTAAAGGAATGGCATGAAAGAAAATTCAAAGGGATACTCTTTATTTACAGCAAGGAAAACCTATTTGTGGTGTGAAATTAGATCCTTTGACTCAAGTAAAGGTAGAAGTTCTGAAGCAGAAGCATTTTTAATTATTGTATTTTTTTAATATAGTAATCAATGGATACTTTATGAAAGTGTACATTGCCAATTATGTAACATTTTCTGTTAATATTTATTGTCTTATTTGGGAAAGAAAACCTGTGTTGTGTTTTAGCATGCCTAATTAGTCTGAAAATGGTAGCAGTGATTCAACCTTTTTTTTCTGTAAATGTTTTTATTTTTGTTATGAAACATATCAAAATTGAAAAGTACAGAGAATAATATAATTGGTGTCTGTAACACCACCAGATTTAACAATGTTAACGTTATATCATACTGTTTCAAATCTTTTTGTAATGTTGAACATTATGGATAGAGTTTAAAGCCCTTTTGTATCCATCCCATTCTATCCATTCTCCATCCTCCTCATAGGTAACCACTATTCCGAAGTTGATGTGTATTCTTTCTGTACATGCTTTTATACCTTTTCTGCATATGTATGTATCCATAAATAATATGTAGTCTTTTGTGTGTTTTTAAACTTTACACAATTGGTATCATACTCTTACATGTATTCTGCAGCTTGCATTTTTCACACATTTATTTTGAAGATTTGTTCATGTTAACAATGTAGATCTAGTTTTCTTTTTAAACACTGTATGATATTCTGATGTATGATATACACCTATTGTTAGACATTTGGATTATTTCCAGTTTTTGTGTGTGTGTGGTATGTAAAATCAATATGGCAGAGATTTTGAAGGAAAACAAATTATTTTAGGATGATACTTACAGCAACAATGCCTACTTTCTTCAAGGTCTACGAAAATTTGGATGCCCAGAAACAAATACTTCCTAGTTAAATTGTTTATTGCACAGTTTATTAATAGTAAAGTCTTACTGTTAAATAATTGTTTTATGTATGCAATAACATTCTTAATTATTTCTTTGAACTATTTTTAAATCTTCCATATTCAATTAGTAGCTTTTTCCTCTGTTTAGAAAATGTCGTGTGTTCTTTTTGGTGAAGAATCAAATTAAACGTTTGTCCTGAATTGAACACCTGAAGATGTTTCCTATACCTTAGATATTTTAAGGTAGACATTTAAGTAAATTTTTGTAAGTCAGCCAGGCAGATGATTACTCTCTGTCTTTGTACTAAATTTTAACAGATAGTCACTTTTGGTTTGTTTGCTTGTTTGTGGGGAAAGAAATACTAACATTTTATTATCATTTTTTTACCTGCATGACTATAAAATTATCAGGAACTTTGTTCTTAAACATGACTAAGTCATAAGCAGTTCCCCACAAATTTACTTATAATATGGGTTCTTCTCAGATGGTATATAAGACCGTTAGCTGTTGTTATTTTGGAAAGTTCACATTTTGGCAAAGGTGTGTATATAGGATAGTCCTCAACATGAAAAATACACAATGGTTCTACGAATATTTTAGAAATGTTTGGACATAGTTTCCTGTGTAATATTTACTACTAGAAAATTGGCTCTAGATAAATGGCATTTTTTTAATATACTAAATATCTGTAAAGTATTAGAGAAAAATGCTTTCTTTAAAAACAATTTACACCATCATTTGGAAATGTTTTCTGTAACTAATCATATTTAAATACTCTTAGGGCGTTTTTTAATTAGTTTTTTTTTTTTTAATTGAGTTTTGGTGGGTTTTTTTGTTTTGTTTTTGAGACAGAGTCTTGCTTTGTTGTCCAAGCTACAGTGAGTGCCATGGCGGCAGCCTAGCTCACAGCAACCTCAAACTCTTGGGTTCCAGCAATCCTGCTGCCTCAGCCTCCCAAGTAGCTGGGACTACAGGCATGCGCCACCATGCCCGGCTAATTTTTTCTATATATATTAGTCGGCCAATTAATTTCTTTCTAATTATAGTAGAGACGGGATCTCGCTCTTGCGCAGGCTGGTCTCGAACTCCTGACCTTAAGCGATCCTCCTGCCTCGGCCTCCCAGAGTGCTAAGATTACAGGCGTGAGCCACCGCACCCGGCCAGAATTATCCTTTTTAAAATGTCATCATTTAAGTTATACAATGAATTAGTCTAGAAAGTTATCCATTTCCTAAATTTACAATGAAATACATTGTTCATTAGTGGGTTTTTTAATTTTTATTATGTTTAGAAATGGGGGTTCTTGCTTTGTTGCCTAGGCTGGTCTCAAACTCCTGGGCTCAAAGGATCCTCCCACCTCAGCCTCCCAAATAGCTGGGGCTACAGTAGTGGGTTTTATTTTGTTTTTTTGAGATGGAGTCACCTGGGGTAGAGTGCTATGGTGTTGGCCTAGCTCACACCAACCTCAAACTCCTGGGCTCAAGTGATCCTCCTGCCTCAGCCTCCTGAGTAGCTGGGACTACAGGCACGTGCCACCACCTAAGTTTTTCTATTTTTAGTAGAGACAGGGTCTTGCTCTTTCTCAGGATGGTCTCAAACTCCTGACCTCAAGCAGTCTTTCCCCCGACCTTGGCTTCCCAGAGTGCTAGGATCACAGGCACTAGCCACTACTGGCGAGCAGTGGGTTTTTTAAAAATGTTTTTTTCATTAATGGATTTTTAACAAAAATCTTGAGTGAGTGAATGAGATGTTTATAGGGTATTTTGCTATATTAAAATACATTGAATAAATTCAGAAGGGAACATAAAACATTCTTTTAACATTATAGTTTTAAAATGATCCAAGTACTATATTATGTGCTCAGAATACATCTTTTTTTTCAGAAGTGAAGTACTGAATTGTGGGTTTGAAATAAGTTAGAATGAGTAGAGTTGGAATGTATCAAATGACTGAATAGTGAAAAGGTCATCATTGATTCACATCACTTTCTTCCTTACTGTGTACAATAATGAAGTAGTTAATGGGAAAGAGAAGATATACTTACATACTTAGCAATAAACTTGTTAAGTATTTAAATCAACACACGTTGCTTAGGTTAAAATGAGGTCTGTAGAGGAAAAAAATTAAGCATGTTGGAAAGAGAAAAGAATAACTACACAACATGAAATAAAATGCCTGGTATGTGTGTCAGATTTTTAAGTTATTTAAAATCATTTCCATGATCTTTTTTTTTTGAAACCAGAGTCTTGTTGCTCTGTTGCCCCGTCTAGGTCTAGAGTACAGTGGAGTCCTCATAGCTCACTGTAACCTCAAACTCCCAGTTCAAGCATCCTGCTGCCTCAGCGTCCCAAGTAGCTCGGACTATAGGTGTGCACTACCACCCCGACTAATATTTCTATTTTTAGTTAGAGAAGGTCTCGATCTTGCTTTGGTCTCAAACTCTTTAGCTCATGAAATTCTCCCACCTCAGTCTCCCAGAGTGCTAGGATTACAGTCGTGAGCTACTGAGCCTGGCCTAAGTCCTATGATCTTGACCAAATCAAAAGCAGAGTCAAAGCCAGGCATGGTGACAGGACACCTGTACTCCCAGCTACTTGGGAGGCCGAGGTGTGAGGATTGCTTGAGGCCAGAAGTTCAAGGCTATCATGTACCACGATCATGCCTGTGAACAGTCACTACTCTAGGCTAGGCAACATAGTGAGACCCCATCTCTTAAAAAATAAATAAATAGAATCATAGGGATGTATACCTATTAGATTTAACACAGTTGTGTCTTATTCTGTTCAGGAGAATACTTACCTCAGTTTTATTGGTAGACATAAAACAGGTGGAACGCTTACAGAATAAGATAGCTGATACAGTGTTTTAACTCAGTCCTCATTCAAGGGAATGCATTTCACAGATTAGGCAACTAAGGTACAGAAAGATTAAGATTTTTAACTGAGATTATACAGCAGGTATTTTCAACACAGAATATTATAAAAGTAAATTGTATTCCACAGACTTGAGCAGTAGACAGTTAAAGGAGGGAGAGGTTGATATAAGTAGGAATCATTAAAAACTTCACTTTTGGTGGTGGTGGTTGCAGAACGACCTGTGATAGGGAAGGAAATAGTACACTGCTACAAAAGGTGCTAAGCCTGTTTGCAGCACAGTTTTCTTATTTAACAGCTTGCTTTGCTAAAAAGAAGGGAGCCATTATACGTTCTTGAGTAGAGGCCTAAAATGATGAAAGTGATGCTGTGTTTAGGGAAACGAGTATGGCAATGTCATGAATAATAGGGGAGCAGGGTGGAGCAGAAGAGCTTTGCATAGCAAGAGCTTTTGTAATAATTAAGATACAAAAAAGATGAAAGTGTTTCAGTGTGATAAATGGACTTGAAGGAACAGAACAGGAACAATATATTTTCAAGAAAGTGCTGGAAGATTTGGTGAATGATTAGGTAGTAAAAAGAAGGACAAAGGTCGCTGTAGTATTTTTGAGTCTTGGGACCAGGAAAATGATGGCTCTTTCCAAATAGTGGGAAGTTGAGCAGGTATATGTTAATTATTTGGTTTGAGGCTTGCTTATTTATTTATTTATTTATTTGAGACAGGGTCTCACTCTGTCACCCAGGCTAGAGTGCAGTGTTGTCATCATAGCTCACTGCAACCTCAAATTCCTGAGCTCAAGCGATCCTC